GGGGGGGGGGGGGGGGGCTAAGAAGACATTGTCACTATGTAGCCAGTTTTTTGCTCCATGAAAAATACACAAATTCTGAATTTTACTTGAGGATAAAGGCTTGTTTTACTCAGCATCACATGAACTGGAAAGATTATTAAACATCAGTATAAACAGCAATGAAAACTGCCACAACTGTACATTTTCTAGAGAAGGACAAAAAAAGTTTGTAAGGTTTCCTATATAGCTTTTATATTTCTGAACTTTTGAAAGCAAGTACAGCACATGGATTTTTGTTTGGGATAAAAATCTAACATAGTTATTGACCAAAAGTTTGCTAGTCATCATAAGAAAATCCATGTTCTTATGGGATAGTGGAGAGGGTGCTGGCACATTGCATTCTTTCAAGATGAACTCAAAAGTAAAGCATATTAACTCATGCATTATGTGAGGCCATATTAACATATAATACAGAACAATATTAAAGCAATCTCAAACCTTTGTGCAAAATACATTAATTTGTGAAAGGTGCTTTCTATCTCCAGGCAAACCCAAACCACCTGACTCACTGCCAGATACAAAGTACATGATGCTCCACATTCACATTAACTAGTGTTGCAAGAATGAGACACAAGTTTAATTTCTTCACATTAACTCTTGGGATGCAAGCAGAAAAACATGGTAGAATCCAGAAACAAAGCCCAAACAACCCAGTCTTCCCCCAGCCACTCTCTTCTAGTTGTGCATACCCCTTGCTGTGGCTTTTGACAGCTCCTGGGGAGGAGCTTCCCATTACACAATTACGTGCCTAAGGTTGGTGGACTTGCAATGTGTACGCACAGAAAGGGTGGAAGGGAAAGTAATCCTCTTCTGGGAGAATCACTTCGGAATAACTTATTTCTTTTTTAAAAAAAAGAGATTATATTAGGAATTAAAAAATGGGGGGGGGGGTGATAAGAGTCTCAAAGGGACTTGTGAATGAAGCTAGAAGTGATTAAAAAAGGAACGAAAAGAACGAGATTAAAATAGAGGAGGAGGGTGACAAAGGAGGAAGAGAGAAGTGATAGGGAAAAAGGATCGAAAAGCCCTTTTCAGTGTTAAAGAAGTGGGGGGGGGAATGGAAGTTGAAAGCAAGGGGGAAACGAAGGTGGGGAGGATGGTGACAAAGGAGGAGGAAGAAGAGAAGGAAGTAGAGGGAGGGAAAGGTGAGACGGGCCATTCCCAATATGGCACTGTGACTGGGGCAAGGAGAGGACAAAAACAAAAGAAGGGGGAAGCGAGGCAGGGCAAAGGGCAAAGAAGAGGAGGCGGCAGAAGAGCCGGGGGTCCTTCCGACGCGGCAACCGGAGCAGCCGAGCGGAGGGCGGGCGCCACGGCGGGGCTGACAGCGCTCCTCCGGGCTTCCTCTGGCCCGCAGCGACGCCCGCACGGAACTTACTTCTTCCTGACTCTCTGGAAAGGGGAAGCGCCATCTTTACGAGGCCGGCCCCTCGGTCTTTTGTCTGTAGCGGCGGCCGCGGCCGTGGGGGGAGCCCCCGGCTCGCGGAGCGGCGGCGGCGGCGGCGTCAGGCTCTGCTGCTCGGTTGACATCCTGGTCAGCCGGACGAGGGAGG